CGAATTTTTGGCTCTTGCCATTCACGCCTTAGTACAATTCTCAAATTACATTTATCGATCTAGATACAACATTCTATACATCAGAGTGTTCTAGTTTAGGGGTACGATTCCCAATGCGAGCAGTACTGATATCCAGTTTGAATGAATTACTAAAGTAAAGAATAATCTATGCCATTTCATTTACCTTAGTGCGGTCAAGACTCAAAATCTCTAACCTAGCTAAGGGGTGGTTAATTGAACCATTAGAACCCTTCTTTCAAGCTCAATATACCATATGGAAATATTTGTTTTCATTATTCCTTTCCACATCGGAGTAAAAAGGATTGTTTAATTTTAAATTTAATTGATGATGTTCATTTATTTTACTCAGATTCCATAGAAATTCACTTATTTATTTATTTATTTATTAAAGCTACTCGTTATAGAAATTATTTTCCTGTCATTGTGAATTGTTCTAAATAGTTGTATACCCAAAACTTATCTTTCCCAAAATGCTAAAGCCCTTATCAAGCCTTGCAACCCCATTCCGCCATTATTACATATGCTTTTAGGTCGGACTACACCCTATCCGAGGATTGGATTTATATTTTTCATAATTCCTACTATCCCTTTCTAATCAAATCTTTCTTACTAGACATGATAAACTACCAGTTCTTTTCAGATTAGTAAATCTGCTCTAGGGGGAACACCAATCTGACATTCTTTTGCTACGAATTCTTATTCCAACATTGATTTTATTATACTTGATCCACGAACTTAGCTTGACCTGTTAAATAACCTACAAGTACTGGGGTCTTAACTTTCTCTTGTATATACACTTAGTGCATAGTAAACTTTTACTTCCCAAATTCTTTACTTATAAATTCTTGGGTTACACTAATTATCCCTTAATTGTATACTTAACGTATCATCGCTCTACCCAATATTATCTGTATTTCTAGGTTTCTTAAGGATAGATATTTTCTTTTTATTTTACCACTTATTCATATGTCATTTGAATTCTCAACAACTTACTATTCCATGACTACTGATTTTCATTGACTTTTAAAAATCTTCCTTACCAAGTCCTTGACTTTCAATTTGTCCCCAGCTCTTCAATAGTTCCTACATTTGATGTTGCTTCAGGATAAATAACAAATAATTTTATTAAGCTATAATATTACTAAAACAAAATAGTTAAAATAAGGTAAGGATATCGTCATAATAATATACGTATGGATTTTTCAAATATATTAAAATTGTTCCTCTATTCCAAATTTATTTCAATTTAATATGTACTCAAGAAAGCAATTGTTAATCAAAACTTCAAATTTTTAATTGAAAAACAAAATCGTGATTTTAAATGCTTATACAAATCAAATTATTTTGTGATAGTTCAAAAGCATGATATTTTTATTAAGAGAAACTAGATTTTGTAAAGCTTTTAATCCAAAGAATTATAAAGATTTTTAAATAGGTAAACACAGCAGTCTTAAATCACTCAAAGCTATTTTTTCCATTTCAAAAATCCCCTTATCAATTACCAATCATTCCAAAAGTCAAGAAATAACAATTGTTTCAAACATCAAAATCCTTTTCTAAAAATTTTATAAAATTGGTCTTGCATATTTTTAAATCAAGTAGATAGGGTTTTAAAAGAATGAAATGAAATTGGTATATAATACTATATCACGAAAATTAAAAGTCGATTTACAAAGTGAAAAGTTTCCCTAGTTTATACTTTAAAGCATTAGATATACCACAAGAGTCAATCCTAAAAAAATTTAACCCAAACTCTATAGCAATAATATTGATCATTAAAATTTGTAAATGCATATAAGTTTAACTTAAAGATCAAACCAAGTATCATTCAAGATCATAAAAATGTTAAATAGTCAAATAATTTATAATTTAAAAGTATTATGTCCATTAGACTAAGGTTTGGGGCACATCCAACTATAAGAACTTGACGAGCTAAAAAGAACTGCCTTAGAATTTTATATTTATATTCACAGGGTAAGGTCTAGATTCTTTAAACAATAACTTACTCACTGATTCCAAATCGTTTTTTTTTTTTTTTTGGAGATTTGGGTTATCATAAGGAACTCTAAATACTTAATTCTAACTGTTTATTATACAATACTCAAAATATATTAAGTAGTTTATGAAAATTTCTATTGTTCATACACATATTTATTCTTTCCTTCTATCCAACAGTAATAATACTTATATTATTTATTTTAGGGTAATTAATTATTTAGTCCCTCAGGTTTTACAAAATTAACCAACTAATTCAAGGTTTTGTCAAAATATCTAGCTAGTCCCTCAGGTTTAACTCCGTCTAATTAAAACCCTTCAGGTTTTTACAAATTAACCAACTAATTCAAGGTTTTGTTCAAAAATATCTAGCTAGTCCCTCAGGTTTAACTCCGTCTAATTAAAGGTCCTTATCCGTCCTAAAAAAGTTGATTTTTTTCCGTTAATATAGACTAAAAGACCTAAAACACCCCTCCCTAGCTGACGTGGACCCATAAGCGAAAATATTACATCTAGTCCTTCAGTTTTACATAATTATCTAAATAATCCAAGTTTTGCGCAAATTGATCTAACTAGTCCCTCAGGGTTTAACCACGTCTAATTGAAAACGGTTCCTTCCGTGCCTAAAAGGTTAGTTTTTTTTCCGTTATATTTGAAGACTAAAAGACTAAAACAACCCCTTCCCTAGCTGACGTGGACCAGTATGAAGCGATAATGATATTACCTAGTTTGCTTTCTCCTTTTGTTTCTTCATGCCATAATGATATACGCTGAGTTATCCTTTTGCACAGGTAAAACCTATAACCTTGCATTAAATATTAATATTCATATTCAAAGTTATGAAATTATAATAATATAGGTGGCAATAATAATTATTTTTTATCTATAAATAACTGTTATTTTAGAGCCGGTGTTTTCTCCGCAAATATCTTTTTTTTATAATATTAATGAGTAATTAATTTTTTTTCAATTTTATCCTTATTTATATTAAATTTAATAATATATCTTTTTTTTTAGAATATTAATGTGTATGATTAATAATTATTACTTCAATTTAATGATTTTTTACTTAAGGTTACGTAATAAAATTAATTAATATTTTGTTATAATTTATAAGAATAAATTTACTTACTTAATTACCATAAAAATATTAAAAGTATTTATGAATAGATGGAATACTTTGTTTTTTTTTTTAGATTTTATCAATGATAATAGAAATGTTTCTTGATAAAATTTGCATATTAAATATGAATAAAATAGAAAATATGTTTATTACTTTTTTTTCTAAAAAAGAAACTATGATGATAATTTGGGGTAAAAAGAAAAATGAAGTAATTACTTTTTTGAAGATGTATTTACTTTCATGATTCACTCAAATTTAATAATATTTAATTAGAACATCAAATTAATTTTTTTATCCTTTTTTTAATACTGTCTTTGTTTTATAATACTTGTCAGATTTGAGAAAATAGTTTGTTCTAAAATATTTGTCTAATTTAGTCTAAAATACTTGTTATATTTACGGTTTTAAGGAGTAATAAATATTTTTTTCATATTTACCCTTTGTGTATGATTAATAATTATTATTTCAATTTAATGATTTTCTTAGAGATTAATATTAAATTAAGAGTAATATTGTCAAAATTTATTCAATAATTTATTATAATTAGTAAATATTGTCCAAAATTTATCAATAATTTATTATAATTATACAAATTTTAAATAATTTTTTTAAAAGACATGAAATTCTAAATGTGACGAATAATTATAGAATGAAGATAGTAATATTTTAGCGACATATTTATATTTAATGGTTTTTCGATTTGCAAAATACTTCATTAATCTAAAACTAACCGTACATTTAGAGAGAAAAATGATATGTCTCCATCGACTTTATAGGGAAATTATTATTTAGTCTTTTAGTATACAATTCCCTCCCTTAATCGCTTCCATACTGGTCCAACGTCAGCTAGGGATGAGGTGTTTTAGTCTTTTAGTCTTCAATTAAACGGAAAAAAAACTAACTTTTCGACGGAAAGGACCTTTCAATTAGACGGAGTTAAAGCCTGAGGGAACTAGTTAGATTATTTTGCGCAAAACTTGGGATTTTAGTTAGATAACTTAATGTAAAAACCTGAGGGATCTAGATTAATAATTTTCCCTATGGTCCCGTCAACTAGGGTAGGGGGTGTTTTAGAGTCTTTTTAGGTCTATAACATGTAATTGGAAAAAAAATCAACTTTTCGGACGGAAAGGACCTTTTAATTAGACGGAGGACGGAAGGACCTTTTAATTAGACGGAGTTAAACCTGAGGGACTAGCTAGATATTTTGGCAAAATCTTGGATTAGTTGGTTAATTTTGTAAAACCTGAAGGACTAAATAATAAATTTCCCTTTATTTTATGGAAGGACTTTGCTTAAACCATCTCTTTTTCCCAAGTCCATCAAGCTAAGGACACAATCTTTATTGGAAAGAATGCATTGGTTGATCAGGCCACTGCACTTTCTTGTAATTTCTCTTATGTTTCCGAAGCTTTATAAGGAAATCTTAAAATATTATTTATTTACAAATACATTTAATTTCCACCACTGAATTTTCCTTGTTTCTATCTGCACCAAAAAAAAAGAATTCAATCCAAGGTACCTCTCCTTTATTGGGCAATCCCAACATTAGGAAGGGGTTAGACAACTATAGAATCTTAATTCCTTTAAACTTTGAATTTCTATTCCTTAATGCTAACTTAGAAGCAGAAGAAAAACTATGTTAGACAAGATGGAAGCCCTAGCATTCTGCAATTACTTACTAAGGCCCTAACTTTTGTTTTGATACCATCTTTGTCATGACCCATTACCTTGGGTCGAACCGGCACTAGGACTTGGATAAGCTTAAAGCCACCAAAGCTCGTAATAATTCAAAAATATACCAAATAAACTTCCTGTTCAATAGAAATGGCCTCAAACCCAATATCATCACATTCAAATATCATAAATCTTAGGCTCGCTTGGCACATATTATCATATTCAATCATAAATTAATTTTCAAAGTTCTCTAGGCGCATATAATATATTACCTGATAGAAACTTTAGTAAGTAATACATCAATAATCTCTAAGTTTATTATACATGACTAACGTAATTACAAAACAATCTAAGAACTTAAATTTTCAAAATATTTATTGAGGTATCTTCTAGGCGTTTGGTGACAAAGGATAATGACTTATTGGAAGACCTGTAACCTGAAAAAATATTAAGGCAACAGTGAGCGCTAACTTAATGAATAGGATTAGATAACATTCTCACTTCCACACACAACTGCGTATTTAATTTAATCTAGTCATCTGACTAGTTATATAACCATACAGTCAATCATACAAATGACATAGCATCAGCAATCACAAATACTAACACCTTCACATAATCACATCAAGTGGAGATTGGTCAGTGGCGTCACCAAAACCCCCAATGAGCCGTCCTCACACATGGCCTACCCTCTCATCACTCTAGGGAGCTGATCCCCTTACATGGCCGACCGGTCTCAACCTCACTTGACCATCCCTCTCAATTTTTTTTATTCTCTCTTTTCTTTTCCATCTAATAGGAGGCCACCTTATGGTTTTCCATATCATCCATGTCATATTTCATCATATGCACACGGGGTGCCGATCTCCCCATACATGGCCAACGGTATCGAAGAGGGTGCCGATCTCCCCATACATGGCCAACGGTATCGAAGACTGCTCTCACAATCCCAATGATAACCCACTTCATTCTAATTCTACACAAACAAAGCATACATGTAGCACTCCACAACTAATCAAACGATGTTCATTAGCAACAAATAGTGCAGCACAAATAACAATTCCTTAAAAAATGCATCTATACCTAGATGGCATTTATCTATCATGCATTAATGCATAACATTTATCCGTGTATATATGCATGCATATGTAATGGGCAAAATAAGTTATCCAACAATACTCACAGTTCCAAATTGTCCTTAATAGGACTATTTCATTAGTATTCTAAGCAAGAATACTAATTCTAAAATTTTGTTCTCATTCATTTGCTAATTACGATGGCCAAAGCCAATTTTCTTAACTTATCAAACTATATAGTTACTGTACTCTTATTTATCTATTTGTCCTAGTTTATAACTTTATTTTAAAGTGTTCTCCGGTAAATTTAATGTATTATAATAATATCAAATAATAATAATAATATAACAATAGTAATAACGATAATAATAGTAGTGGAATACTAATAATTTGAGTAGTTGTTTTCCACTAGTGTTATAATTAAGCTAGTTCTTTAGTAATCATTTTATTGAAAATTCAGCAACAATCCCTTCTAAATTGGACTATCCATGTTTTGTACATCACAAATATCAACCCAGTACGCACAGCCCATCCATCGGGAAAAACAATTCAATCTAAACCCTTCCGCCTTTAGTTTAGTCTTTACTTCTAATGTAATTTAATTCATAACTAATTAACCAATATCGCCTACGCAACGCATTCAAACTCAGCATTTATATATCATTCCTATTTTAACTAGTTAATAACTTTAAATTCTAAGAATTCTATTTTCTACTTAACAAACTTGTAAACCATATTTTCAATAAAATTCTCTATTATTCATTAGGCACTTTCAATCCAGATTTCTTAAACATGCCTTATACTACTCTAATTTAACTTACTAAGTTCTAATTCTTGACTAACTTGGATTAATCAACTCTAATTGAATTTTTACAAGAAAACAGTGTGGCTTACCGATTAAAAATCGGATTGCAGATTCGTGATTACCACGAAAGGGGGAAAATTCTATCCCTAGGAAGCCTCGTCAGGGTGTCACCGGCTGGTCAGCAGACTGCCGGCTACTGTGCATGGTGGAAAAAAACTCAATTTCGACAGAAAAGAACACCAGATTGCTCGAATTTTCTCTTGGAGTCCATATCTGGCGTGAATTTGCAAAGAAGAGAAGCCCTTTAGCCGAAAATCACCTCGATAGTCTCTTTTGCCGGTTCATGGCGGATTCAGGAGATAGAGTTAGATGCCAAAAATTATGAAGAGAAAATGATCGTAAGGTGATGGAGAGTTGATCGAAAGCCTCCTTAAAGGTTGTCTTCGCCAATAACGGTGGGAATCGTCGAAAAATGCGTCGCTACGATATCAAAACTCTTGCTCACAGTTTCTCTCGATCGAGGCCTTTATTGCATGAACAATGGCCACAGGCGTGTTCATCTCGTTGGGCTCTAGAGTTTAGAGCCCTCACTCACCGGAAACAATGGCCATTTGGTCGAAAAACGGGAAGAAGAGAGGGAGGGGACTGTCACCGATAGGTAGAGGAGTAGGAAGCTTCTTTTTTTTTTTTTTTTTTTTTTAGAGGAGTAGGAAGCTTCTTTTTTTTTTTTTTTTTTTTTTTTTTTTGCTTTCTCTCTCCTCATTTGATTGGTATAAACATTTGATTTGGTCCAAATCATATGGGTTCAGTTTGAATCTGCTTTTAGAGGATTCTCCTATGTTTTAAATCATTTTATACTCAGTTTTCTTATGGTTTTGAGAGGTTCAAGTCTGGTTGATTTGATTTTTGAGTTGTTTAGTTAGTTCTAGAATCTCCACTTAGTACAACAAAGCTTCTTTAATAAATTTTGATGGTTGAATATTAATAATTGTAATATTTTTGGTTTGTGGATAATTAAATTAATTTGTGGTAATATTTTATATTTAAATAAATAATTTAGAGGGTTCTTGATTCGAGAATTCTGATAACATATTGGTTTAAGTCTGATTTTACGAATTCGGGCTCGGAATGAAATTATTTGTAGCCCATGTGGTCAAAAATTTAGATTTTTTATTTAACTAATATTTAAAAAATTTTTAAAATAAAATTACAGGATGTTTCATATAATAGCATATGCAAGCTAATAGTTGGAAATTTTTTTAAAAAAGGAATTGCTTTGTTGCCGTTTTGGGATGGATTTTTTTTTTTTTTTAGGAGAAAGATTATTGTGGTTGAATGGTGCCTTTAGTTGACATGATGTGCTATTTTGTGCTTAGAGTTCTCAATCTCAAGTCAAAAATTTAACTTGAAAATAAATATTATCAAGTGGGTTCCATATTAAAGTAATAATTTCATTTTACATTTGAAAAGATAAAAGTGAGTGCAGGAGAGAGAAGAAAGGAGGGAGACAGAAAACAAAAGCTGATGTGCGGAAAGATAAAAAAGTTGATCGTGTACTACGTTAGCCAATCAGCTGGTTAGAAAGTAATTTTTATTTTTTTATCTAAACTAAAATTGATATATATTTATGTGACAAATTAAATTTTAGATAAGACAAAGCGATTACTCTTATAATTTAAGTATAACGGTAAAATTAACCCAATTTTTCATTCTGTAATTACTCACTTTACTACTAACTATCTATATACCATGCTATGTATGGATTCCATATTTTTTTTTTAATTTTAAACTTTTTTCTTTTAAATTAAAATATGTAAAATTATTTATTGAAAATTACACTTGTTACTTACTTTTTTTTTTTTTACTTAACTTATTTACACTCTATAGACATAGAGAAAAGTAAAAAATAATTATAGCTTTTCTACAATTATTAATTTCTAAAATTGGATGATTGTCCTTTTCTATATTATCTAGAAGTTTGATTTACCAATAATTAAATTATTTTTAGCTAATTATCTACTTTTGATAAAACAAAGTTGGCTTCATAAAAAAAAAAAAAAAAAGTTGGCTTCATAAAAAAAAAAAAAAAAAAAAAAAAGATTTAGGTCTTATAGTTATTACAATGTTTTTAAATTGAAATTTATGAGTTTACAAATAAATTATATAAACTTTAACTAAATAAATGTATAATTCATTTTTATAATTTGAAAATATATATAGTTGATTTTTGTTATGGAAAAGCTAAAGTTATTAAAGTTATTTTTTTGGACCTACACTCTCTGAATGCAGTTTTAAAGTATGTTTCATTTCAATTTGCAAAATAATAAATAAAGTTCTCTCTCTCAATTTATTTATGATTTGGATTTTCTTATGTTTATTTTGTAAATATTGTAAATATTGCAAAATCACAATATTTACTAAAATATTGTAAATATCTATCTAATATTGATTTGGAATTTAAAATCACAAAAAGCCAAGTAAAATAATAAATTTAAGTTAGTTATAAGCATAGAATATTAGTCTAGGTTTTTATTTTGCCATTTTTTAAGTATGAAATTTTACTTAGGGTGTATTGAAATTATATTTAAATTAGATTTCTTATAAAAATAGGTTTTATTCTTTATGATGTGTTTTCGTCGAAAATCCCCCCCGAAGGACCCGAAAACATCCTTTTTGTGGTTTTTGGATAAAATATTTTTTATTTGGATATGGTGCCGATAAATCGGTCTTATAAACAATATCGGCTCTTATACAACAATTTTGAGTCGCCACCATCCATTGTTTAGGCAATTGGGACCGTTTTTATAAAATGACTTCATTTTATAACCCATTTGTTTTAAGGCCAATTATTTTAAAAATACGGTCAGACACCAATGTGATTTCTGGGTAAAGGAATTGGGTACGCCGCCCGTTGGAAGCGACAGCCTCGGAAAACCGGCCTCTATTAATTAACCTATGATTTCTAATTTAATTTTAGTTAGAAAAGCCAATGTATTTATTTATTAAACCGCAACCCAAAATAATCGAGTTCCTATTTGGAAAATTGTTTAATCGTCCCAAACAAATCTAATTATCACATAACAATTATTCAAATTAAAGCAATTAAATCAAAGCAATTAAACCATATAAATAAAAGACCCGCTCTTGCCTTATGGTTCAAGGCGGGCGACAAACCGAATCAAAAATATTAAATGGAATAAATAAATGACCTACTCTTGCCTTATGGTTCAATGGTTCAAGGCGGGCGACAAACCAAATCAAAAATATTAAATGGAATAAATAAATGACCCGCTCTTGCCTTATGGTTAAAGGCGGGCAACAAACCGAAGAATTAATCAAATAAATAAAATACCCGCTCTTGCCTTATGGTTCAAGGCGGGTAACAAACCAAATCCAAAAATATATATAAATCGAATCAAAAATTAAATCCATAAACCAATAAAAATAAAGTCATACATGATTATTATTTAATATTTGAATCACATTTTTTATTTTTAGTTTAATTTCATTTTTGCATTCAATCAAAAATAATAAAATTCATACAAATAAATATATATAATCACATTTTAATATAAATAAAAAATAAAACCATTCAATTAATTATTACTCCAAATATTTAACTCATATTTAATTTTTTAAATTTTAATTTTAATTTCATTTGCATTCAAAACCAAAGAAAATAATAAAATTCATACATAAATATATAATCAGTATGATGAATAGTAATAAACAGTGCGTAAAAAGAATACAACTTAAATATAACTTAGGAAAATATAAAATGACCAAATATAAATGGACTATAATTTAAAGAAATATAAATTACTAAAAGCATAAAAATAATAAAAATAATTTAAAGAAACTTAAATTACTAAAACCATAAAAATATATAAACAACACAAAAATATGTAAATAAAATAAAAGTATGTAAAAGATACAAAAGTGTTAAGGAAATTACCTGATTCTCAAATTGAAGATTGTGAATGGATCAAACAGATCTTCCAGAAGCAGCTTTGTTTCCAAGGATTTAAGTGTGTTTTCTTTGTGAATGAGAAATTTGACCGCACAATATATTTTTTTAAGATTTAAGATTGTGAAGAAGTGTGTAGTAGTAGTGTAGAAGTGTAGATTGTAGTGTAGAAGTGTGGTATAGTCTGTTAGTGTGTGAAAATTTGTGGAGAGGGTTATTTAATAGACGGTTGGACACTGTAGCCAGTTGTAGTACAAAGCACTGTACAGTGTAAGTACAAAGCACTGTAGGCAGTGCGTGTAGCATTGCACATGTAGCAGTGTAGTACAAAACACTTGTAGCATTGACACTGTAGCATTTATTTTTTATTTTTTATTTTTTTTAGGGGAACGCGTGCTACAGTAGCACAGCTACTGTAGCTACGCGTTTTTCCTCTTTTCTCTTTTTTTTTTTTGTTTATTATTTATTTTTTTTATTTTTTAAGTTAGGGGAACGCGAGCTACAGTAGCACAGCTACTGTAGCTACGCGTTTTTCCTTTTTTCCTTTTTTTTTTTTATTATATATTTTTATGCTGCACAGCTGCATCACACAGCTGCTGTGATGCAGCTGTGATGCAATTTTATTTTTATTTTTAGTTTTTACTTTTATTTATTTATTTGTTTATTATTATTATTTTTGTTTAAATCCTTGGATTAAAAGACTTCTAGATGGTATTGACCCATTCATCATCCTCGTATTCATCCATTGGAATCAGGCGGGGCATAAAAAAACAGCGTACAACATGTTACCCCCACATCTTTATCATTAATTGTATAAACAATCTAAATCTAAAGTGGGTCACCTGACGCGCCTTCAATCTGGTTTAATCATTCTTCTCAAAACTCGTTTTGATTGCGCTTTTGAAGACCCCCGACAAGCTCCGGTCGGGACTTGGCTTTTGGAACGGATTTTGGTTGACTTGATTACATCTGGTCACCTCCTTAGCTCACGTTATTGATCGGCTTTGGGCTTTGTCGGCTCCCGTTGAATCTGTGATCATCTCCAAAGTTCGGTTTGATTGGCTTTGGAGGATTTTGTCGAATTTGTGATCTCTCCAAAGCTCGGTTTGATTGGCTTTGAAGACACCTCCGAGGCTCGGTTTGATCGACCTGAAGGCTCCAGTTTCAAGGTTCTGTTGAATTGACCTGAAAACATTTTCGAAAGAAAGAGCAATCTCTTCAGCTCGGCATAGTCGGCTCTAGAGAATGTTTGAAAAGAGACCAAAGCACGGCGTAGTCGGCTTCAGAGAGTTTGAAAAGAGACTAAAGCACGGCATAGTCGGCTTGGTTGTTTACTTCCTCAGCTAAAAGAGACCAAAGCACGACGTAGTCGGCTTGGTTGTTTACTTCCTCAGCTCGGCGTAGTCGGCTTCAGAGAGTTTGAAAAGAGACCAAAGCAAAGCACGGTGTAGTCGGCTTGGTTGTTTACTTCCTCCGCTCGGCGTAGTCGGCTTCAGAGAGTTTGAAAAGAGACCAAAGCACAGCATATTCGGCTTGGTTGTTTACTTCCTCAGCTCGGCGTAGTCGGCTTCAGAGAGTTTGATGAAAACGACAAAGCACGGCATAAGTCGGCTTTGTAATGTTTACTTCCTCGCTCGGCGTAGCTCGGCTAAGAGAGTATTTGAAAGAGACCAAGCACGGCTCAGCTCGCGCTTGGTTGTTTACTTCCTCACGCTCGGGTCAGTAGT